GTTGGGGCAGTGTGAATACTACAGGCGACCGCATCGCCCAGCGCAAAACCCGGCCTCCACAGGACCACCGCGGCACTTTGGCCGTCGCAGCACACAGGTGCCTCGGCGCAGGTGGTGCCGCGTTCTGCTACGCTTTCCAAACCTCCGGCACCTGAGGTTGGGGATGCCCTGATTGACTCGCTCTCACAGCGGCGCCCTTGGCGGTGTCCAAGGCACTGGGGTTTTGCGCGCTGTGCCCTCAGAGGTCCCCAGGCTCCGCCCAGTGCCGGGGAGCCGCCGGATCGCAGTTTTCGCCAACAAATGCCCGCGGTGCGTTTTTCCACCAGCCGCGACGCGAAGCCGCACTGCGGGCATAGCCACAAGTGCGCATTCAGCCACCCTTGCAGCTTCCACCCAGTGGCTCCAGATTTGTAAACGAAAACTCTCGCACTCGTTCAAAGCGAAGTTGTTTACGCAAAGGTTACGCGTGCTGGGGCCTGGGTCTCCTCTGCCCTCATCTCCCGTAGAATCTGCTTCTTCCACCTGGGCCCGCCAGCACTCCGCTAGATGACGCACAGGGCCGGGCCTGGGCTCAATTCCACGCTCTGCTCGGCCAAAGAACCCGCCGCAGGCGCATCCTCAGTGCGAGATATGCCGCTACGTGTCAACAGGCGCGCCTGTTGGGCGGGGAAACCCACCACTCTAATCCCGGGCCTCATGAAATCAGCACCATTCAAAGCCCGGCGGCCGTCACCATCAACCAACAGCAGGTCGAAGAGACTAATGGATGGCTCTTGGCTTCGCTCCTTGCGAGGTGCTGAACGCTCCTGTGCCACGCTGGGGTGGCTGGGCGCCTTTGGTTCGCCAGAAGGAAAGGACTTAAATGACTGAACTAGTGTTTTAAATGCCTTTTTAAAAAGGAAAAAACTCTTTCAGTCGGGAACAGAACCCGGCCCACCCAATGCGTAAGCAGCGCACTTTGGTCGCTATGTCACGGAAGGCGGTGGGCCGGCGGTTTCACCTTTTTTCTCATATCAACAAAGAACCAAAAAAGAAGAAAACTTAAGGAGTCCTCCATAACATGTGTGAGCGCAGCGGGCAAACGTGGCCGAGTGGTTAAGGCGCCTGCCTGCTAAGCAGGTGTGATCTCACGCGTAGGTTCGAACCCTACCGTTTGCGGACTTTTCCGGAAGAAGTGTTCTGCAGTTTCCGTCGAATGATCCTTTTCCTCAGTTTTGTTTAACGTTTCCAAACGGAAGAGCGCGTGGCGCCGGGGATGTAGCTCAGATGGTAGAGCGCCCGCTTAGCATGCGGGAGGCATTGGGATCGATACCCAACTTCTCCAGGTTTCTACTTTCTTGCATTTGTCGCCTTTTCGGCCCCCCCCCCCCTCTACTCCGAGCGCAAAAAAAAGGTGTATGCTTTTTTCCCTTTTTACAGAGCTAAAGGGCGTATCGTGCAGAAGAGCAACGAAAACGCACATGCACCTTTTTGTTTTTGGCAGCTAGTCCAAAAATGAAGAAAGGGAGAGGGGGGGGGGGGGAGCAACACCCCTACCTGGGGCCCGGCGCGCCTTCGTTGTTGCCATCCTTTTTTTTTTTTTGCCTTTCAATGGCGGAGTCTATGGGCGCCAAAAGCTTGTTGTTACTATCGTTATTATTTTTTGCTACTTTAAGGCGGGGTCCCTTTACCCCGGGGCGGCCCCATTTCGAGGGCACGCGGGGACGCATGCACATTTTACTTCCAGTGGCACAATGGCCGCTTGAGGCGCATCCGCCACGGCGCGTGCCGCTGCTTCCTGCACTCGGGGCACGCCACCCCGCCTTTCCTCTACCCGGCGCCATCCTGCCAGTGGGGGCGAGTCCGTCCGCGTCTCTGGCTGCCCGAAACGCTAACTGCTGAATGAGCTGTCTGAGAGCAGAGCAACCGCTTGGGCAGCACCTGCCGCCTCCACACCACGCACAGCTCACCAAGCACGTGATACACCAGCAGGCTATAGAGGCATTTTATACGTCCTGGGCCCAAACTACACCGAAAGTAAGAAACCGCTACACTCGCTGCGGAGGCGAAGCGCCAGGCAAAGAAGTGTCAAGATGATCTTTTAGGTCGTATAGGCGGGGCCAGCTGAGTGGGTGGATGTGTGTTGGGGCAGTGTGAATACTACAGGCGACCGCATCGCCCAGCGCAAAACCCGGCCTCCACAGGACCACCGCGGCACTTTGGCCGTCGCAGCACACAGGTGCCTCGGCGCAGGTGGTGCCGCGTTCTGCTACGCTTTCCAAACCTCCGGCACCTGAGGTTGGGGATGCCCTGATTGACTCGCTCTCACAGCGGCGCCCTTGGCGGTGTCCAAGGCACTGGGGTTTTGCGCGCTGTGCCCTCAGAGGTCCCCAGGCTCCGCCCAGTGCCGGGGAGCCGCCGGATCGCAGTTTTCGCCAACAAATGCCCGCGGTGCGTTTTTCCACCAGCCGCGACGCGAAGCCGCACTGCGGGCATAGCCACAAGTGCGCATTCAGCCACCCTTGCAGCTTCCACCCAGTGGCTCCAGATTTGTAAACGAAAACTCTCGCACTCGTTCAAAGCGAAGTTGTTTACGCAAAGGTTACGCGTGCTGGGGCCTGGGTCTCCTCTGCCCTCATCTCC